AATGGATGACAGGCAGGAAAATCCCCTTCCCCATTTTCCTGCCTTTCACAAAAATGGCTCCATTCCAGCTGCTCCCGGTCCCCTGTCCCCCTCTCTCCTGGGGACTACCTTAAAAGGGACAGGCTGCATCAGCTCCGTTGTGAATGGAGGGAGAAAAGTTAGCATTCTCTCTGCTGCATTTAACATTGAATTCTGTGGAATATCGAGCGGTCGGAAGAGGTGAGCGGTGATCCGCCGGGCATGGGTGGGGCCAAGGAGGGGTAATTACTACCGGTTCAGCGAACTGATGCCCATAATCCCTAGCCGTTCACCCAAACCGGTCCAAACCGGTAGGATTTCACCCTGTCTTAAAGTTGCTAGTTGCTATTTTGATCATGTGATCCCATGGATGCAACAGTTATAAGGGTGAATACAGGTCAAAACTTACTTTTCCCAGGGCTGTTATAACTTCCAAAAGTTGCATGTCTATGGGGGTCTATGACAACTCACCATGGCTAATTCACCATGGTCAACTCGCCATGACCATCTCACCACCGGACAACTCATTGCAGGACAAGGGTTACGCTAATATCAAAGAAATGGTGGAACAGAATCATTAAAGAAAGGGTGCAAAAGGAGGGACAGAATGAAATGTGAATGGTCAAAATTAAAATATTTTTTTATTTATTTTAAATCATTAAATTGAATTGTTAAATTGTCCCACAATGAGTGGTTTCGTGGTGAGTTGGCTCTGGTGAGTTGTCCTGTGCCAAGTTGCCCGTGGTGAGTTGGCTGCGGAGAGTTGGCCGCAGTGTGTTTGCCGGAGCAAGTTGGTTGTGGCAAGTTGTTCCATTCCCGTCTATGGAGGTTCTTAAGTCATCCAGGTCATAGTTGTCCCAAAGTTGCTTCTTCAAAAGGCAAGTAGACTTTCTGGTTCTTCTTTGAAAATATTTTGCTTATCTTCCAAGAAGCTTCTTCAGTCATGGTTGTAAGTCGAGGACAACCTGCAAAATATATATATATTTAACTGTTTTTTAATATTTGTATTCTATGTTTTTATCTTGCCTGTATACCGCCCTGAGTCCTCAGGGAGAAGGGCGGTATATAAATTGGAAATTAAATTAAATTAAATTAAATCCCACCCCGTGGAGGTACTGATTGTAAAGTCACAGATATCTGTCTATCTGTTTTGTCCATCTACCTGCATGCCAACTCTTCCATCCATCCATCCATCCATCCATCCATCCATCCATCCATCCATCCAACCATTATCCATCCAGCACTTACATTCCCTCTTTCCCTCTTTGTTACTTGCTATTTCTTCCACTATAATTTTAATTATATTGTTTCTCTTATTTTAATCCTGTGAACTGCCTAGAGCAGTGTTTCTCAACCTTGGTAGCTTGAAGATGGATGGATTTCAACTCCCAGAATCCCCCAGCCAGCAGCGCTGGCTGGGGGATTCTGGGAGTTGAAGTCCACCCATCTTCAAGCTTCCAAGGTTGAGAAACACTGGCCTAGAGTCCATAAGAATTAGGGCAGTAGATAAATGGTAAGAATACACAAATAATTCTAGTGTGCCAAACAAACAGGCTTGAAACCCAGGGGAAAGAATTTGCTCCATGTTGCTCTTTGCTGATGTGTTTTATGTGTAAACCAGGAGTGAAATGCTCCCGGTTCGGACCGGATCTCCCAAACCGGTAGCGATGGAGGCGGGTGGTTTGGAGAACCGGTAGCAAAAATCCCTGCCCCCCCCCCCATGCCCCGCTGAGCCCCCCCAACAATCGAGGGCTTTTTTTTTACTTTTAAAAGCATTTTTTCTACAACCTCTTCGGCCAAAAAAATGCTTTTAAAAGTAAAAAAAAAAGCCTCTGATGATAGCGTGGCTCAGCTGGGATCCTCAAAAGCTTTTAAAAGAAAAAAAAAACCTTTTTTTTCTTTTAAATGCCTCTGACGATCCAAGCTGAGTTGCCTGATCGGCAGAGACTTTTTTTCTTTTAAATGCCTCTAACGATCAGGCAACTCAGCTTGGATCACCAGAGGCATTTAAAAGAAAAAAAGAGTTTTAAAGAGCACTAAAATCAGCCTCCTCCCGAAAATAAGCCCTCCCCGAAAATATTTAAACGCAGAGCTGGAAATCAGGTAAGAAGGCAAGAAGAGCCCCCATCTTGCTCCACGTGCCCCAAAATAATAAGACCTCCCCCAAAATAAGGCCAAACGCTTATTTCAGGGTTCAAAAAAATATAAGACAGGGTCTTATTTTTGGGGAAACACGGGTAGTGACAGCACAAACGTGAACCATTTGTATACATGCAACATCCTCATTAAGGTTTTATGTCATCTCCTTGGTTTTCCTCCCAAGACAACTATCTACATTGAAGGGGTGGGTTCTAAATTTTTTTACTACCGGTTCTGTGGGCGTGGCTTATTTTGTGGGTGTAGCTTGGAAGTCATGTGACTAGGTGGGCGTGGCTAGCTGGTCAGAGTCATTTCTGGAAGGTCCTCGCACTTACGACCAGTCCTCGCACTTACGACCCAACTCATTTGTTTGCTTTTAACACTGATCAGCTGTAGGGCGGCCCTTTGAAGCCCCGCGGCCAGAGTTTAAACAGTTTTTTTCTCTCTAGTCATCAGCTGGGACTCAGGAGGCAGCAATAGATTGGGGGTGGGACCAAATAAAAGGTAAGAATAACGTGGGTGGGGGGGATGGGAGGGCGGGGGGGGGAAACAGGTTCGGTGATGTCATATCGTCACCGCTACCGTCTAGGCTGAACCGGACCGAACCGGGAAGAACCCACCACTGCTACATTATCAGGATTCATCCACAGGCATGATTCATCTCTTTCAACCCTTTCTTGCTATCCATCTGATCATTTGAAGGATGGAACAATCAGATTTTAAGCAGCAGTGTCTTTCTTAAGGGGATCGTAACAAACTTTTGAAAGAGTGCAGTGCCAACCATCTCAGGTGCCATTTTTTCCATTCTTCTTGAAGGCAGCAAAATTTCAGTGCTTTGCAAAATTGCTTTCGGAGGAGATGACCAGGTCAGTGAAATGTCTAATCTGATGGATGTGAGGCTGTTTATATTATAGCATTTATATTAGTTGTCGGTCTGGGGATGTGCATAAGTCTTCTTCCTTTCACTGCATAAACATATTTCCTGACAGTTTTCTGATTTCTTAAGCTGCTACAGTATTCCAGTATTTCTCAGCCTTAGAACTCAAAGCCGTGTGGACTTCAACTCCCAGAATTCCCCAGCCGGCAAACTGGGAATTAAAATCCACATAGCTTAAAGTTGCCAAAGTTGAGAAACACTGTTCTATTCAATTCCAGGAACAGGAAGATTTTGTTAAAGTAAAGTTTAGACTATTAGTATGTTTTTCTTGAACTTCAGGTTTTTTGCAATGGGTCCAAGGTCACCAGTTTCAAACACAACTGAAAATAGAGCCATATTTCTAGTTCAAAGCTACTTCAAGATAAGCCAACAATGTTGATTAGGACCTGAGGTTTAAAGGGTGAGGCAGAAAGTGTATGTCAGATCCAGCCAGGATGCCAAGATTTTTAGGGATATATAGCAAAGAAGTTGGCCTGTCAACAAAGTTTATTATGGTCAGCGGCCAACGCTTTATGCAAATCTACAACTATAAAATATCAAAAGAAACTTAAGAAGCAAAGGATAAAGTAAAATAAGTCCCTACAATGCATAAAAGAAATCTAACTGCAACCCTGAGATACTAAAAAGGGAAAGGGCTGTCAATGACAATGTTCTCAGAGTCTGAACGCTTTAAGATAGAAGCTGAGATTGTGGAAACTTCCATTCTTTCTCTGAGCAGAGCCAGCACTGATCAATTCTGATGATTAGATCTTGATAACTTTTGTTGGAAGAAATATTCATCTGGTCCAGTTCCAAGCTGGGAGAAAGACATTGGAAACATGGAGGCTGATTGGAAAGATGGCTTAATGATGTAGCAGAACCACCAAGCGTGTGTGATTCTGGGTAGCTGACCACATGGAGTTGAGAGTGAGGGGCATTTATACCTTTTCTTGGCCTTTGCACTTGAACTTCCTGTTCCTGTGCAAGAACATGTATTCTATTTGTTGTAGGGGTCGTAGCTGGCTCTGTAGGTTGTCTGAGCTCCCAGGTTTGCTTGAAGTTTGGACTGCTGATGCAATGTCCTTGGGAGATTGTGCAATATAGCGAGCTTGTGTTTTGAAAAGGTGTTGCACAATTCCTATTATGGCTGAGGTCTAATCCTATCTTTGTTCAGAAATTGCTGCAGGGAATTTCAAAATATCCTGCCTTGAATGGATTTCCGCCTGCAGTATTTCCTTTGCCTATGAATGGAGCTATCTCTCTTTTTATCTCTTAAGTGCTGACATCTGCTGTGGGCTATTAAGGAAGGAGGGGACTGCTTTCCAAGAGCACGTTTCTCCATTTCTCATTTAGGGAAATGTAATATTCTTCCTTTTTAATATTTCTCAAGATATTTCATTCTTCTAGGAGAGGGGTAGGTGCTAACTTTCTACACTTTGGAACAATGATGTCTAGTAGATGTCTAAGATGTCTTCTTCTCAAGCAGCTGAATAATTCCTCCATTTTTTTCCCCTTTTGTCTTTCTGCTCTACAATGACAATGCTCCTACAAGGATGGATAGTCAAAACTTTGGAGTTGAGTTCAAATGTCAAGCGTATCCAGGAGCAATGGCTCTTTTTCCAGCCTCACTGTTAGATCTAGTGGATTCTCAGGTTTACCTGCTATCTCATCTTGTCCTCAAGACCAAGCTAGGATTGCATGTACCAAGCCTGCCTGAGAAGAGATGTCCCAACGGAGGAACATCTGCTGTTTTCTGTTGTACACTTTGTCCAGTACAGCACATTTTGAAAACTGCAAAGATTTATTAATTGCGCCCAGCAGCTGTTGCTCCTCTTAATTTAACTTGTCTCCCATCTTCTTAATGCGCATAATCCTCCTTTTAATGGGTCTCAATGTGTTAATTGGTTCCTCTTTGTACTTTTCACAGGTGATCTGAGGCCAGTTTCTATGCCAACAGAATACAGCTGGATAGGAGATTCAAAAGAGCCAAACATGTACAAGAGAGGCAGTCGTGGTGAGTGCGTTTTTTCGCCCAGTACAGTCAAATAAAAGACAAGAAAAGGACTCTTATTTTCTTCAAAGTTGCCCGTCGTTTCTGATGAACCAAACAATCCAAGTTCATCATGTCATTTTTCTTGGGCATTTATTAGGATGGGGCTGTATCATTACAAACCATATTTTAGATGCCAGGACATATTCTAGTCTTAATCCAACTCACTCAACATGGTAATTTTAGATGAAAGGCTATTTCCCCGATAAAAGAGAATATTTGTAGCTCAGGGTTGAAATGAGAGATCCTTGATGCTCTCTGAACTTGGTTGTTTTAACAGTTTAAACAGATTAACATAGTTGGAAGGGACCTTTTTAAGTCATCTAGTCCAACCCCCCGCCCAAGCAGGAGACCCTACACCATTTCTGACAGATGGCAGTCCAGTCTCTTCTTGAAAGCCTCCAGTGATGAAACTCCCACAACTTCTTGAAGGCAACGTCTGTTCTAAGGGTTGATGGTTCTCACTCTAAGAAAATTTCTCCTCATTTCCAGGTTGAATCTCTCCTTGATCAGTTTCCATCCATTGTTCCTTGTCTGGCCTTCAGGTGCTTTGGAAAATAGCTTGAGCCCCTCCTCTCTGTGACAGCCCCTCAAATATTAGAAGACTGCTATCATGTCTCCCCTGGTCCTTCTCTTCACTAGACTAGCCATGCCCATGTTTTCTTGCAGATGATTCATTAACCAAACTAGGTAACATCTGATGATGCTACCTACCGTGTTTTTTGGAGTATAAGACGCACCTTTCCCCCCCTAAAAGGGGGTGAAAATTTAGGTGTGTCTTATACACCGGATGTAGCCCCGCCCACCCACTGGCCCCCATCCTTTGGCCTCTGCCTTGCAGCAGTTACCTCCTTGCAAGCAAACAGCAAGAAAAAACAGCTCCTTTCAGCTTCAGCACAGCCTAATTAGCACAAGTTTATTGGATTGGCCTCCCGACTCTCAGCTGATTTGCTCTCAGCTGTTTTGCGCAGGGCTCTGCTGCTTGCTTGCAAGGAAGAAAATTGCTGGAGCAGATTTTTTTTCCCCCTTGTGCTAATCAAGCTATGCTGAAAACGAAAATGAAAGTAAAGCAGGCTGTTTGCTGTTTGCTGCAAGGAGGCAAATTTGCTCAGAGCCAGAGGCAGAGGGAGATTTCTTTTTCTTCTTTTCCTCACCAAAAAAGGTAGGTGCGTCTTATAGTCCGGTGTGTCTTATACTCTGAAAAATACGATAGTTTGAATAATGAAACATTTGCCAAATAACAACAACAACAACAACCAAGCTCAGAGAGCACCAAGGAGCCCTCGGGCTATTTTTCGGCAAGAGGAATAAAGGGATGGCTGTATATTTCTGATTTGCATGTAATTGGTCTTTTTGACCTGCCAGAAAATCTCTGCAAATGAAAATCACATTTCTTTTTCTTCACATTTATTTTCATACATGTGTACATTTTGCATTTGTCCTTCTTCAATATGCACATTTTTGAAAGCAATTTCCTGAGGTATATGGGAAAGGAGATCCCACTGTTGTGTTTAGACATGCACAGAATCTGATGAATATGGGGAGTCTACAAATGTTGGAGTTTTTAAAATGGATTTTGTTGCTCAAAACATACAGTTCTAGATGTGACGCTCTCTTGAGCAAACTCTAGTGATTTGTCCACCATCTGATACCCATTTGACTGAGATTTCTTCATCGTATTTAAGACCCCTCTTCATCTCGTACCACTCCTAAAATCTTCCCAGAAAATTGGCATTGGCTCTGCCTGCTTTTGAAATATAGCTTTCAATGTGTCCTTCAAATGTGTCCTTGTGTTGATCCTCAAGCCAACTGAAGTTGGCCTCCTATGCCAAAAACTATGGCTAACTTGAACTATAGTGTGCTGCAGAGGTGGGTTTCAGCAGGTTCTGACCAGTTACAGAGAACCGGTAGCGAAAATTTTGAGTAGTTCAGAGAACTGGTAGTAAAAATTCTGACTGGCTCCACCCCATCTATGCTCTGCCTCCCAAGTCCCAGCTCATCGGGAAGAAATGGGGATTTTGCAGTAACCTTCCCCTGGATTGAGGAGGGAATGGAGATTTTACAGTATCCTTCCCCTGCCATGCCCACCAAGCCACGCCTACCAAGCCATGCCATGCCCATCAAGCCACACCCACAGAACCGATAGTAAAAAAAATTTGAAACCCACCACTGGTGCACTGGAGACAATCCATCTAGCACCATGACTCATGAAGTCATGCTTGCTTCTACACAGTTTCAGCTTCTGATCTCTTCGTAGACACTGCACTAGAAAAGAGGACTTACAAGTCCAGGGGGCAGGAGACCAGTTAGCACATTTTTTTTCTCTGAATCAATATAAGGACAAAGATGGATCTCCTCTTTAGCTCTCACTTTCCCTTTTTTTCTCCTTCCTCGCTCTGACAAAAGATTCTGAGAACTCGCTCCTACGATACCTGAGTGATGACAAGATCTTAGTGATCCAAGAAGAACCGTTGACCCAAAAAGATAACAAGCGTGATACAGGCCGGCGGTCCAGGAAGAAGGGCAAGAACAGTGGAAGTCCTAATTATCCTGTTAGCTCCTCCGTGATGACTTCGTCTACTAATGTACGGCTTGAACCCGCTCAGCAGGATGTGCTAAATTTCTCCTTAGCTGAAAGCAACACCGTTCCCCTCTATCACGTAAGCTCTTTGATGCTTTTCTTAAGGTTGACATTGAGTTTCACGGACTGCATTGGGTTGTTGTTGGTTTTTTTTGGCAATTTGGTAGAAGTGATTTGTACTGTCGTCTTCTGTGATTTTTTTTTCTTCAATTGTACTCTTGTGATATCTCAGTGGTCTCGGATCCTATTCTACCTATTTTTGTTTTGTGTTGTTTCAAGACTACTTGGGTACTGATAACTTGTGTGACAAAACTGAGATTAGGAAGGTAGAAAACATTTGTTATTATCATTATGATTACTAATACCACTACTGCTATTGTTTGATATACAGTTGGGTCCTTAAAACAAATTGCGTTCCTTTACAAACTGCCTTCCAAATTCTGTGCACCTCTTCAGTGGTGAAATCCTCTGCCAGTCAACACCGGCTCGCTGCCCGCAGATGCACGGTGCACGCCAGATGCGCGCTGCGTGTGTGCATGCACAGTACATGCCAGATGCACGCTGCACACACATGCATGCACAGTGCATGCCAAACATATGCTTCGTGCAGAAAAAGAAGCTGTTTGAAGGTAAGTAGAACCACGAGGGGGGGAACAGCTGTGCTGCGTGATTTAGATTCGCTAGAAAGCAGGATTTCCTGTTACCATGTAATATAAATCGCGTGGCATAGCTGATCATTGGAAATGATCAGCTGGACCAACCGGTAGCTTTTTTTACTATCGGTTCGCCGAATCTGTAGATTTTATCATTACCGGTTCTCCTGAACCGGTGCAAACCGGTAGGATTTCACCACTGTACCTCTTCTCTTTTAATACTAAGTGTGTATCCTACAACTTCATGCCGGCCTGAGATTTGCTGAGCTGAATTCCAATTCAGCCACCATTGTGCGTGTGTGTTTTATATCAATTTCATGTATGTATGTGTTTTTCACTGATTTGTAGATTTAAACTCTTTGCACGCGATCAAAGTTTGCTTGGCTGTATACTATTTCTCAAAAAGAAGATTACATTATTGTCTCGAATAATTTACTTTTAAACCGGGAAGTTTGTTTGGATTAATTGAGAACAGAGTAAAGGAGGGAAACCGAGTATTGAAACTGAAGCAAATATTTGGAAATGTGATAAATGTTTTGCAATAGTGGCAAATATTTGTAGCTCGGGTGTAGGATGGAGGGTGAAGGTTCATTCCACAAGCTTGTGGGTTGGTTTCCAAACATTTCGCTACCAGGCCCAGGTAACATTTTTGCAGTCAGTTTTTCCAAGATTTCTCTTTTTTGTTTTCCCCATTTTATTTATATATTTTTCTTTTACATAAAATAAGTGCTTAATGAACAGCGTACTGTCTGGGTCCGTTGCTTACATAATAATCCTTTTTTAAAATCCTAATTTCTAACTCTGTTATCCAACCCTTGATAAAACAAGTCCCATGTTTGATAATACTCCGTGGCTTCCTTTTCTTTTATCCTCTGTCTTAGTCTGTCCACTTCTCAATTCAATTCAATTCAATTCAAACCTTTATTGTCAATGCACAACATATGTACCAGTGGTGGGTTTCACCCCGGTTCGAGCAAACCAGTAGGGGTGGTGGCAGGAGGCTCTGCCCACCCGCCTGGATGTCATCACTGTGCTCTGTGCATGCACCAAAAGTTCTGCGCATTGCGCCAAAGGTTTTGCACATGCACAGAAGCACCGCGTGTGAGCGAAGTGCACATGCGCACATGCGCTCACAATTCCAAACTGGTAGCGAAGGTAAGTGAAAACCACTACTGATGTGTACAATGAGATTGGATGAGCCTCCCTTAGTGCAGCTCCCCCAAAACACAAAATACATCTTAATAACTCATAAGTGAAAGAAAGAAAGAAAGAAACCTAACCCAATAGATCATACTAACAGACACACAATCCTTCATACGTATACTGTGTTTCCCCGAAAATAAGACCCTGTCTTTTTTCTTTTTTTTAAAGCCTGAAATAAGCACTTGGCCTTATTGCCATGTGCTCAAAAGCCTGATTGGGCTTATTATCAGGGGATGTCTTATTTTGAGGGAAACAGGGTATGTGTTCTGTCCCCGTCTCACACACACACACAAACAGACAGCCAGGGGTTAAATAAACTGGCAGACAACCAATTCTTCTGATAAGACGCTTGGCAGCAACCCAGTAGCTGCTTGCCAAGAACTTTTACTCAATAAACAAAATACCCACAGTCAAGAATTGTCCAGTTCGTAAAATAAATCCAAGGCCGATAATGTTGTTTCCAAAGATGCAATGTGACTCGATAGTAGTTAGTTTTGTCCGTCACAGAGTCTGAATGTCCACCTCACCCCCTTTTATACCCTGTGGGGTGTGGTCCAGTGACTCAGCCTAATCTCTGGCACGCCTTTTCTTCTGTTGCGCGCGCTTATCTCTGTGACGCTGCCGAGGATCCAGCCAAGACTCATTACCCTCATCACTGTCCACCTGTGGCTGCGTGGACGTGCTTGGCCCCGGCCCTATCTCTTGCCCTTCGGTGGACACCGAAGGCATTGCCAGAGAGGAGGGTCCTGGAGAGGGAGGCCTTGCCAACTCCTCTCCTTCACTCTTGGAGTCCTCTCCTGCTGATGACACAGGCTCAGGTAACGGAGCCACAATAGTATGTGCATACATTACATGATATTATATTACACCAGTGTAGACATGTTGCACGTTGTGCTGGCCCTGCAAGTCTATCATACTAAATAGTTATGGTGCTATGTTGCATTCAGAAGTCTGACAACCCACGGATAGAAGCTATTTTTTAGCTGTTCATTCGACTGGCTATGCTTCTATATCTCCTGCCCGATGGTCGGAGAGTAAAGAAGTGGTGACCAGGGCGTGAATTTTCCCTAAGGATCTTCCTCACCCTGCTAAGACATCAAGTCCTAGTGCTTTCATCTAATGAGGTCAGGGGACAGCCCATGATATTTTGTGCTGTACTCATCACCCTTCGTAATGTTTTTCTATCCGCGGCTATCAAGCCAGCATACCCTACCATAATGCAATATGTGAGGACCAGGGGTGAGCTGCTTGAGGTTCTCAGGGGTTCAGGAGAACCTCTAGCTAAGATTCTGTGCAGTTCAGAGAACCCCCAAATCCCACTCCTGGCTGGCCCTGCCCACCCCGCCCCTCCCAGGAGTCCCCACGCGGCCCATTTTGGATGCAGGTAAGTGCAGGGTGTGCGCAGAGGCTCGGGGAGGGTGAAAAATGGGCCTACCGGAAGTTCGGGAAGGCTAGAAACAGGCCCATTTCCAGCCTCCAGAGGGCCTCAGGAGCCTGGGGAGGCCGTTTTCGACCTCCTGGAAGTTCAAGGAAAGCCTCAGAAGCCTGGGGAGGGCAAAAATGTCCCCCCACAGTGGTGCAGGAGGCCGACTAGGCCACACCGACCATGGCCACGCCAACCCAGCAACCGGGAAGAGAACTCCTTGCTAAAATTTTTGAAGCCCACTCCTGGTGAGGACACCTTCTATCGTAGACAGGTAGAAAGAAGTCATCAGTCATTCCACCTTGTTTTTCTGCAAGATCCTGAGGAAATGGAGTGTCTGTTGAGCCTTCTTGACCACCTGGATCGTACTATTTTTCCAGGTGAGATCTTCACTAAGGTGGACTCCCAGAAATTTGAAAGAGGAGACCCTCTCCACACAGCCCCCCTTGATGTAAAGTGGGGCAGGTTCCTCTCTCTTCTTCCAGAAGTCTAGCACCGTCTTGCTCTTGCTGATGTTTAAGTGCAAGTTGTTTCCTGAGCACCAGGTGGTTAACTTCTGGACCTCTTCCCTGTATGCTAATTCATCACCTCCTTTCTGCACAGTGTAGTATCTTTTTAAATTATATTTTCTTTGGTGGGTGTTTCCTCGTTTTTCCAGTATTGTGCATATACAATTCTTGATGCTGTCAAGACATGTAATATCAAACATACATTCTCTTTATCGTATTATTCTGATATTATGCCTAGCAGAAATAATTCTTTTTCCAAGATTTCAAACCATTGTTAAACAAACGATCGTAAGTCAAGAATGACCTGTAAATTGGCACCGATACAGTTGAAGCAAAACAGTAACTGTGAATTGGCTGTTTACTTAGGTGGCAGTTACTAAGGGAAATGACAGCCTAAAAGGTCTTTCTATTCCAGCAGAATTTCTTCTTCTTCTTTTTTTCCCCCTTGGTTTTTGTTCACAGTGGGACCTGTTTGGAAATTACTGTTTTCATTACAGCTCCAGCAAGAAAAATACTCCAGGTAACCAAACTGGATGATAACATAATGGGTAAATGCACCAAGGGAATAAAAATGTAGCTGTGGGTTTTTATGAGTGGCCATTGAGTGCATTTGGAAAATCAGAGCATTTCTTCCTATACGGGAAGAAAGTTTAAAATAGCAATTTAGCTAGGCACACCGCATGTAATATCTAAACTCCATTTTTACTGTGAATTCTATGGAGCTACAGCATTGTAGTTTGGTACGCCCTGCAACCAATAACCATAACCAAGTTAGATCTATGTGGATGCAGCTCCGGAGAACATTTTCTCTTTATAATGTGCACCAATGGAACAAGCAGATGTATTTCCCCAGGTAAAGGAGTGAAAATTTCCCACGCCAATCTTCTGCCATTTTTCATTTCTGTCTACTCTGATTTGAGCCCATCGGGTTTCTTTAAACTGCTTCCAATCTACTTGATGAAAAAGCATGTCAATTTCCATTCCAGAGCTTTCCAAGATATCACAGACAGACAGACATACAAAGAGACACACAAATATGGAGAGGCATAATTGTGGCTAAGACGCTGAGCTTGTCGATCGAAAGGTCGGCAGTTCAGCGGCTCGAATCCCTAGTGCCGCGTAACGGGGTGAGCTCCCGTTATTTGTTCCAGCTTCTGCAAATTTAACAGTTTGAAAGCACGTAGAAAAAAAATGCAAGTAGAAAAATAGGGATCACCTTTGGTGGGAAGGTAACAGTGTTCCGTGCGCCTTTGGCGTTGAGTCATGCCGGCCACATGACCATGGAGACGTC